AAAAGAAAAAGAATCATAAAATATTCAACATAAAATGTTGAGTTGTTCCTCTACACGATGTTAAAATTTGAAATTATTTCAGATTACGATATGATATCATTTTTTTAAGAAAAAAAACACCCTGTACTTGTAATCTCTATTTGATATTCTGTTTCATTAAAATTCCACTTGCTTCTCATCTATTCATTTTTCTTTTTAATTTATTAATAAACATGTGAGGTATTTTAAAATAGAACAAAGTGGTTAGCTGCTTAGTTAAGTGCATTTATAACGTCACTATGTTCCGTCGTTACAAGAGTGAGATCAGACCAAAAATGGAGTATTTGCTGACATGTCTGGGCTAAAGTTGCCCAATTCTCACTTTCCAGCCTCGACAAAGTTCAAAGCCTTTTATGCGATCTTGTAGGCGTTGAATTATCCCACAAGAAAAACGTCACAAGCCACACGCAACTCTGTCGCTGTTTCTTTGGAAAATGTGCTGACGAGCTGTATTCCCCAGTTCAGACCTTCACATATAAGACCCGCCACGCCATAGACACAGTAGCGAACCATCCTCACTCCCTTCGTATGCCATTGTAAGTTACATTCGGACAGCTTCTTCCCAAAAACAGCAACTTTGGGGAACAGTCTCCCGAGAGGATACTTCCCTGACCAATACAAAACTTCTTCATGTCTAGGGTCGATCTATCTTACATATCCTCATAATGTGCACGTTCCTTAACTGATGTCCATATAACAAACTCGTTTCGAAAACCTCTACCTTGAGAGGATTCTGATCCTTTTGTTACATGAACATTTACTAAAAAAATAAAAAAAGCACTTATATCGGGCACTCTACAGATTCGGTGTCGGATTATATGTATATATATATATATATCGATTTATTTATCTCTCTCTCTCTCTCTATATATATATATATATATATATATATATATATATATATATATATATATATATTAGTGGTAAATATACATACATATGCAAAATATATAAATACCCATACATGTATATTTTTTGAATAAAAAATTCAAGAGGATAGAATTCAGGTAGAACTCAATGTCCAGGACAGAGTAAGGATATAATAAAAAGGCATAAACACTAATATTCCATGGCATTATTCCAATGGAATAAATTATGACCATGGAATATTAGTGCTAAGCCTTTTTATTATATATATATATATATATATTAAGAAATGGACAAAGTCCGACAAAAAGAACATTAAACATAAAAATGTCTTTAATAAATATATATATATATATATATATATATATATATATATATATATATATACGTTTCATTAAATAATATAGACCAATTTTTGTCTATTTATTTTATGTAAAATTTTTTCGTATCTTCTGATAAGTTTGGTAACATTATCATTAACCGAAAAAAAAGAAATTCACAATATTTATCCATTATTTTTAATAAAATCTAAATTTCGACTTCAAGCCATTATCAAAGATGTAAATACAAACATATCAACCAATATACGGACACGACAGTGATGATATAGTCTGTCATTGTTTTGTTTACATAGTGAATCACTAAGCAACGATGAACACGCGCATATAAGACGCTAGAAGCGAAAATCGCACTGCATCTCATGACGTCACACATGACTACACGAAAGTGAATTGGAGAATGAAATAAGGAAAGCCGTTGGTATAATCAGGATTTATTTTTGTAAAAATACAAAATTGTGGCACAAAGGCCGAAAAAAAGAGGGGTAGGGCTGGTCTTACACTAACTATCTTATACCTAGCTAATTTGATTCACGACCCATTCAGACATTACAATTTACTCATTCACCATAAGAACTCGTCCGTCATCAATCAATCCTCCTTGCATCATAATACCACATCCACTCTAGGAGACCTACAAAACGCGCCCCATGTCATAATGATCCTAACACATATGTACAAAAATTCTAAGATGAAAAATGAGATGGGGTGGGATGTGAACCCAATAACAAACTAAAATATTAACATAAATGAAAATAAAACGTTAACTGATGTTGGTAGGGCCCTTCCAACCCTCAAAATGCAGGGAGACCACTGTATTCTGCCCATTGGAACAAAATCAAGCAGCTCTCTCCTTAAGGGAGTGGGAAAGGTGATAAAATCATACGGGCATGTGGAAGTATAAAGCTGACCCAGTCGAGATAGAAAGTGGGGATCAAAAACAAACTGGGGAGGTTGGGAATCTCAGGCTGGATCATAACTAAAGATGTGGCCGGGGGCAGGCCGGAACAACACTTACTCGCATTAACTAGGTACACAAAGGCTTCTAACCTAACCAAGGGGAGGGCTCCACAGAAGCCACCCCGATGTAACGTAGGCTTGACCTAAAACAGAAAATCAAAGCTAGCCCCGTTCACACGAACCAAGCTCGCCTCAGTCACCCACCTTTCGCTGAAGACTGTCGAATGCAAGCGTTTTCTATCAGTTCTAATCTTCGTCTTGAGCTGATGCTCAAAGAATCGGATCAGATCCTGATG